CTGTCTCCGCGCTGTTGTCGCCCTGTTGATGATGTCAGCGACGCGGTTTAGTCAGGCGCGGTTTAGTCGAGCGCGGTTTTATGGTAGAACCCCTGTATTCTGGTAGCCTGCTGGTCCAGCTTTTCTAGACAGAGAATAGAAGAGGGCAGCTCATATTTCCAACAGGTTGGAGGCAAGGTAGGAGCAGTAGGAGGCTCCTAGCAACTCTTCCACATCCTTCCGCTTCACCAGCCAGCACTTGGTTTCGTGAGCCCTCTGGACTGAATCCTTCAGCACCTTGGAGACTTCAGTGAGGAGTACTTTGTTTGCGCCGCTTTGCATCCAGGCAACTTTGCCCCCTTGAGATGGATCTGGGGAAAGGCTGATGTTGCTATTCTGGAACTGGCCTGGGGAAGAGAAAATCGGCATTGCAAAAACTACATTAATTTAACAAAGGAGTTGCACGTCATTTGACTCTTATTTGCACCTTCAAAGACACCGGCGATCTCAAGATTTTTTTAAGACTACAAGTACCCAGAGTTCCCAGCCAGCATGTCATTGTAGTTCTGGATTTCATCAGCGAGTTGCCAGCTCTCTCAGGGAAACAAAGCATGGACTGTACTTTTAATATGTAAGACCAGATGGCATCTTGTTTTTTGGTTTTTTTTAGAATTACTTGTGTGTTCCTTAAGAATACATTCCATTCGTGACCTGACAAATGCGCGCTAGACAAATGCACGCCGACATAACCGCGGCGACAAAACCGTGACGTCAAAATCACGCCCACAAAAGCGCACCGATAAAACCGTAGCGACAAAAGCGCGATTAGGGTTAGGGTTAGAGTTATAACATTTTCGCGTCCCACTATGTTGTTTGTTGATGGCACGCTTTTGTTGGCACGCTTTTGTGGGCGCAATTTTGACGGCACGCTTTTGTCGGCGCGCTTTTGTCAGCGCGCATTTGTCGGTGAACCCATTCCATTTACAGTACTCTGGAAAGTGGCAAGCAGGGAACTCAGGGCAGAACATAAAGAGATGAAGGCTTCGAACTAGAAAACATGATAGTCACCCTGCTCGTAAAACAGCTTACCTAGCAAGCCGCCTGCTGATGCTGATAGGCCTTGGCCCTTCACAATATAGAAGCCAAGATGATCCAACTGCAGGGCTGTGGGATGAATATAGCGATGCAGCAGAACAAGAAATTCAACCGTGGACCCAATCTGGACAGTGATATTGGCCTCAGGCCAGATGGAAATGGCCAGAGGGGGCTTACTGATTGTGGCTCGCTGAGTTAAGGTCAAGACCAGCACTTCCTCGCCATATAGGATCACACCCTTCTGGGTTATATTAACCGCAAAGCTGGAATGTGGGCGCTCCACTGCTATGGCGATGACATCCAAGTAGGTGCGGGGACGTTCTTCGTGGCCTGGCCTTGAAGGGGCTCCCATTAGGTGTCCGTTAACGGTCAAACCTGAAGGCAAAGAAAGGCAACCATCAATCTCTTGCTTTCTCCTTTGGCTCCCCAACAAAATGGAAGCAGATCCCCTGTTGCTGAACCTCCTCTCTCTGCCTCTGCAGCAGTGGTGGGTTTCAAAAATTGTTCGAACCTACTCTGTGGGTGTGGCCTCCTTTGTGGGAATGGCTTGCCACCCATGTGACCGGATGGG